TATATATATATATATATATATTATTTATTTAAAGGAATGGCCAAAGGCTATTAGACGAGCCCCGATTATCCCTGGGTGTGTTAAATATTCGAGCACCACACACTACCCACGGGGGTATATATATAAACACACACACACACACACACAATATAGATATATATGTATGTACATGTATATATGTATATTTATATATGTGCATATGAATGTACGTATCTCTATGTATGTATCATGATTTCAAGCATTTTGGCATGTATGTTAGGACTAGTCCATATTTGCAATTTGAAAACTAGTAACATATGTTTTTTTTATTTGTAAACTTTTAAGTCAATTCATATGCTCAATAAATCATACAAAAAGTATGCGGGCTTGAGAAAACAATGTTAAATAAATGCCCCACATAAATTGAAAAAATATGCCAAAATGATAATGAAACAAAAAGCACTAATAAATAAAGCCTAAAAGAAAAACCAGAAATATAATTGGACTTGAACAACAGACTAGGACAATTTTTTTCCGCTCATCCTTCCATGCTTATTTTCATGAAAAACTGGAATGGTCACAGAAGTCACAGCTGAAGGAATAGAAGATGACTCAAGTATGTTAACATTATCTCAGAGATTGAATTGTACAATGCAAAAGATAACAAGGACTAAAGATGTTATTGTGAATCTCGGATCAGAACCAAGTATTAATTTGAGAAAAAGAGATTCAAGCTGTCAGCTGAAAACAGCAGCAGCACCTAAGTATTAAGAGCAATAAATTAAGGTCAATCAGAACAAAACCACATAAATTAAGAGGATGCAATCATCTTAAAAATTAAAAATTGGTCTTGGAAAACCTCCTACCTGGTCCAGGTAATTCAAAGAGATTACTTAAAATGTTACAAGTTCTAAAGGATGGCATAACATGTTGAACTAAGATAACAAAAACGCACCGCAAATCTAAGAGTTTTGTTATGTAGTCGAACGAGACCAGAGAAAAGCTTAACAGCATAATTTGCAACCTCCTCTGTTTCATACTCGGCAAAAGCAAAGCCCTTGTGATTTTTAGATTCCTTATCCCGAGGTAAATGTAGGTCAACTAGATAACCAGCCTGAATAAGGATTTCATATAAGACCCTTTCAGTAACCCTTTCATCCAAGTTACCTATCGAACATGAAAAAAATAAATATAATGAACAAGAAACATAAAAAGAGGTACCTACGTTACTGATGTCCTGCAAGTTACAAAATGTAACTCACAGAAATTAGTATGCACATTAGTAAATAGCTTATAATAGGTGTAAGTAGAAATTTAGTTAATAAAAAAGAACACCATACACCATAAAATGAGGAAGTTCCCTTTAAATTACCATGGTTATCGTACCAACCAAATTCGCATACCCCAATCATCCATTCCAAATTGGATGGTAACATTTAATCCAACATTAAAAAATATTTTGAAAAATAAAGAGAATTAGATCCCAACCTATCGAATTGAGGATTATTCAAATTGAAGCATATGGTGGGATGGGTATAACTGAAAAAGTGCAATTATAATGGCACTTGGAAATGATCTTTATCACCATATCAAGAAAATCATAGTAAAATCATGCATTAGAGCAAACAGTAGCCCATTGGGAAAAAAAACGAGAAGATTTAGAATCAAAGATAAAAAAAACAAGTTGACACAAAGTAAAGCGTCAACATTCAGCTGAAGAAAAAAAAATTTTATAAGAAAAACAAGAATTAAAAGAAATCAAGTTATTAAAATATAAATGGTTAGTCCATTGGCAAAATGTCGTCAGTTATACTGACATATTCCAGTCATTCAGTAGAATTTAAAAAACAGTGAAGATGTGTCTAGGTATGTTGTACAATATGACTTGAAATATGTCCTATTCGGATTGAAATTCTCAAAATTGCTCAAGGTAAAATTCAAGGAGTCAAATTCAGAAAATAACAATACAAAAGCAGACTACAAAATGAGACATCTCCAATAACTAAAAAAAAATTAGTAGTAATCTACATAAAAAGGACTACAAAAAGTCCAAACATACTGGTTCGAACTGCAAAAAACTAAAAGAACTGCATTCACAATTAATATGCCGTTAAAAAAAAAAAAGATTTCACAAAGATTTCACAAACTTTAAAATAATTTTAAAATAATACATCCATAAAATCAACTACTGACCAGTAATAAAAATAGAAATTCGAAATAAAGAATACCATGGTGCTGGTCGTATCATATAATTTATGAAGCTGTACATGGAACTAATTATTATAAAATTCAAACATAGACAATAAGAATGCTAGAAAAAAATGAAAAAGAGTAACGATAAGGTGACAACTTTCCTTTTCAATTAAAAATGAAGAATATTCTAACATTAATGAGGGGAAAAAAAATAAGCTGCTATCGATGAAGTAAAAAAACCATAACATTATGAAGTAAGAAAAGAAACTGCTACGGATTTTTATTAATTTAGAAAAAACTAATGGTAAGATTTCAAGAGAAGTCCTTGGAGGGTTTAAGAGAAGAAAGGTGTTGATATGACTTATTTTTAAGTTATTAAAGATATGTAAACTAGAATTGTTACTTATGTTCGAATAGGAGAAGGAATGACCAAGTATTTTCCCATTTCAATTGGATTACATCAGTGATGGGCTTTAAGCCCATATCTTTTTACTATAGTTATGGATGTTTTTACTGGACATTCACAGGAGGATGTACTTCGGCGTACGGTTTCCGCTGATGATATCTTTATTGTGGATAAGAGCAGAGAAAGAGTTTAGCAAAAATATTAATTATTGAGGTCTACATTGGAATCTAAAGGCCTTCATTTGAGTAGATTTAACTGAATACATGAAATGTAATTTTAGTAGCTCTAGTGATAAGAGTTGTAACTATGGGTGATCAAAATCAGTAAAAGATGTGATAGTATTCGATATCTCGGGTCTATAGTTCGAAGTGATGGTGATAAAAATGGAGATGTTATTAGTAGAATTCAAGTTTGTTGGTTGAAGTTGAGGAATGCATGGTTTAAAATGATGGTGATATGAATGGGGATAGTACTAGTAGAATTCAAGTTGGTTGGTTGAAGTGGAGAAATGCATCGGGTCTATTGTGTAATAGAAAATTACCGCTCGGACTAATAGGAAAGTGGTGAGACCTGCAATGCTCTATCGCACAGAATGTTAGCCTTTAAAAGAGAAGCATAAAACAAAGTTAGATGATAATACTTAGGTGGACGAGTGGCTTGACGCTTAGAAACAAAATGCGAAATGAATTATTCGTGATAGGGTGTAGCTCCAGTGGTGGACAAGATTAGAGAAAGTCACCTTAGATGGTTTGGTCACATTAAACACCAATCATGTGATGATCCTATTAGGACATTAGATGTTTTAGATTTGACTTGTGTTATGAAAGGGAGAGGTATACCTAATAAAACTTGGGCAAATTGTATAAAGAATGATCCTAATTTATTAGAATTAAATGAAAATGACACTCAATATGATTCAATGGAGAAGAAGGATTTATATAACCGACCCCACTTAATGAGATAAAGGCCTATAGTTGTTGTTGCTAAATTACGTTTCACGTGTCAAACAAACAACCAACAACAACAAAGCCTTAATCCCACTATGTGTCAAACAAACAACCAAAAGAGAAAAAGAAGGAAAGTTTAGCAAAGGGTTTATACTTACAAGTTACAATGTCGCTTGCCTAATGCCCCCATTAATTGCAAGATGAAGACTATTCAAAATGAAAAACCACCCAAAAAAGCCTATATTACCTCCATTGAACCCATATATGCTTAAGTGCTAGCACATGCCAAGGATTTACAAACATCAATTAGTCAATAAGTATCATCATACAAGTAACAGATAGAGAAAATATGAACTCAAATATATGGAGACTAAAGTACAGTGTGAAGGGGAAAACATAATGTAAAGGAGTCTTCCCTCCTTGCCGCCAACATCAGAAATTCAGTGCTCTCCATCTCCCCAATAAAAAAGAGGACGAAAAAGTACCAAGTGTGAAAGAAAGATGATGATTCAACTAAAAATATCTATATATTTTTTAATTGATTACCAAGTTATAATCACCATGATTGATAAGGATGACAATGCTTAATCAAAATGTGACAGAATCGTAGTAGGTGGCGATAATTAGTAAAATACTCACTAAAATTTTGAGTTCATTTGCAATAGACCCGAGCCATTTTGAATCGATCCACCAGTCAAACTATAAGGTCGAGAAAAAAAAAACTTCTGAATCAATTTCAAGTTTAATTAAAGCAGGGTTGGCAATTTTGTCAAAAACTTGAAAGTAAGTCGATTATGACTTAAAATTTAATCAGCTTTAAATAGAGATCAATTTGCTTTGGCTAGTAGACGGTCTGGTTCAAAATAATTATGAGTGATATATATATAATTATATATATCATTTTATATATATTAATATTAATATTTTATGTATATATCATTTTATATATATAATATTAATTATGAGTGGTCACATTTTATGCATATTAATATTATATATAAAAAAATGATAATTAATATTTGATGAAGAACAATTTGAAGTTAATATTTCCTAATGTAACTAAATATGATATAATGTATGTTAAACAAAATGAGAATAGAACCTTAGACAAAAAACAACTAAATACGCAAAAAATAAAATAAAATAATAAAAAAATGCTTTCTTTAAACTGATTGGTATAAAATAATCAAATAATTAAAATACTAAAAGTCTATAACATCAAATAAAAATCCAAACCACAAAGTCAACAAGCAATCGTAAATTTTTCAACATGAACAAAATCTTAATTGCCACTAATTTCAATCAAATCAGAAAAACTAGGAAGCGAACAGCAACACATGTAAAAATAAACAAGGCCAATGAAAAAATTTGCCCAGGTAAAAAAGAAAAATTCAAGCCTTACGTTAGTTTGAGTAGATAACTTTTACTAAATTCAGCAGTCACACTAGAATTACAGTCAAATGAATCAATATATATTCAGCTAGTACAATATAAGGTCAAAAAATTAAAAAGAAAATTTATTCTAAGTTAGTCAATTACATGCCCTGACTTTACATTTATAATCAATTTGTTCTCTAATGGGTTGCCTATCATTGACTTGTTCTAACTTCTAATTTTAAATTGATTTTATTAAAAACATAAAGGTATCATAAAGCCATTAAAAAAAAACCTCTCGATGTCAAATAATACTGAGTTCAATTTTTCCATAATAATAACTAAACCCACAATAGGAAATCACCATCAACAATGCATAAAACACATCACATGCTACAAGAGCCTCATAAGTTGTGACACTAAATGAATTGCTTGTCCATGTTACAAAATTTCATACACTAGATGAATCTCGAATATTGCTAAAAACTCGAGCATGGGACAAAACATATTTTTTTGCTGTTCATGAGGTTAAACCACTTAAAGTGGTATGATGCTTAACAAACACAAAAGATCCTATGTTGCTGCATTAAATTCCTTGTATATGACATTCAATTCATAAAAATATACGCCAAGCGCCCCACAATCCTTCATTGGAGTCATCTCTTTCATCCCTTGCTTATTAACAAACATTACTGTGACAATATTTAGCATGGAGGGAACTCTACTTTGGCTTGTATTTTGAGAATCAAGAAATCAAAAACCACCTATAAGATTGATTTCAATGAAGTTACTCATTATAAGAATAATATCAACAAATAATTCATTTACATTATCAGATTGCTCAATTAATTCATCAAATGAATAATGCATTTTTACATTTACACAGGCTCAATTTCCTTTGGAAGTTCCAGATCAGGTGTTTCTACAATCAGTTATACTATTAGTCCCCGTTTGGGGCGGCAATCGGGCAGCGGCGCAGCGGGGAGCCGCAAAGTTTTGTTGTTTGGGGAGATGGAGCAGCGGCGGAGCGTTTAGGGTAAAATGCGAGCCGCGGGTTAGACATCGTGGCCCACTTTTCTCGTTCGGTTTTTTACATTGGTGCCCTCTTTTCGATTCCGCCCTAACCCTTTTCCTCCTCGTTCGGCTTTTTATACAAAGTGAAAGCTGCAATCTATTGCTCCTCTTCCTCTTCTTCCCCCACGTTGCTCACGCTCCTTGGATTTTCTTCCTCTTCTTCTCCCGCATAT